GAAGGAATCTATGAGCTGTGGGTAAGCCTAGTATGGTGTGTTCTGCATTTTTCATAGCTCAATTCAAATATCTCATTCCATTGAGGACAAGGTCATGATGAGAAGCACAGATGCAGAGAAGTTGGTAAGAACAGCCAAAGATGAAGAGTGATAGTGGCTTAAATAAGGGGCCTTGGAGGCAAAAGGAAGTGGGTAGTAACTGAAATATACTGGGCAGAGCTAGGCAATGTATTTATGGAGAGATGGAAAGGAAAAGGGAGAAATCAAAGATGACCCCCAAGTTTTTAGTTTAAACAGTCAGATAAATTCAGCTACCAATTTAACAGCATCATGGCAACTGCAGGAGGAATCAGCTTTAAAGTAGATAATGGAAAAAGAAGGGAGAAGATGGTCAGTTACATGTATGTGTAAATAAATACATAAGCATCCTACCGAAGCTTGCTGAAGCATGTTCTGGACTGGAAATTTAAAAGTCTGATTTGTTATAACATCACCACTAAGAGTAATAACTTCTTTGCACCTCATTTTTTCCCATCTCTAACATGGGGTTGATTAAATCTGTCTTTGCTGCTTCAGAGGGATGCTGAGAAGATAAATGAGATAATATATATAAAAGTTCTTTGAAGTCTGAGGAGCATAAGAACCGCATCAATCTAAGCTATCATTATTACATCCAGGGTGTGTTTATACACTTTGTATGTCTGCTCAAAGTCACAGGGGCCGTAAGTAGACCATGCTGACATTTTTTCCCTGACTCCCTTCCCTTTCTGTTGATATTGTTGTTTTGATGACCAGAGGTAGGACACATAGACACATAGGTTGTGGTGCTTTTGAATTTAGTTGTGCTCTCTGGGAGCTATAATCCTTAGCTGCACTGCTTAAACACACACACACACACACACACACACACACACACACACACACATACACACACTCTTAATTTTGGTACACAGGGACAGAGCTGCTATGGAGATACCCAGGGTAGAATGCACGGCCTTATACTAGCCAAAGCAGGAGCTCAAGTCCATGAGCTACCTCCCTTGTCCCGTAATTATTTTCTTTTGCAGAGTGGGGCACCTCCCATGTAGAGCTTAGGGGCTCCTGGGCTGCACTGGGCGATGCTCAGGAGACCATGTGGTATCTGGGATTGAACCATTGGCAGCTACATGGATGGCACACACTTTACTAACCCTTTACTAACCCTCCCTGACTCCTTCATCCTTTCATGTTCATTCCCAGAAACTCTTAAGATGAACCCACCTGTCTTTTCCCCAATAGCTTTCTCCTGACAGAGTTTGTTTTGTTCTGTTTCGGGTCATATTTAGAGGTGCTCAGAGGGCTTATTCCAGGCTCTGTACTTGGTATTCTGTGCTGCTGAGCATTTGAATCAAGACCTGAAGGGTTCTAGGCAAGCATCTACAATTTCTCCAGCCCTTTCTCAGACTTTCGTTTAAGAGCTTGGGAAAAAAAGACTTTTTCTCAGCTTAACTGCCTATTAGATTGCTTCTTTGGCAGGTAACGGCAATGATATTTTACTTTAATAGAGATGTGCAGATTTCAAAGAACCGTCACCTTCTCTCATGAATCCTTTGTCAGCCACATCCCCAAGACCTTCGCTACTGATTTTATTATTTTGCTTCAAAATACTGGTTAATTCACCCCTGACCTCACGCACTGTTCTCTCCACAAATAACAAAACTGGTCTTAGAATGTAGCTCAGAGGTAGAGCACATGGGCTGCGTGTGTGAGGCCCCGGGTTGGAGCCTCCTGGGCTCCAAAAAAATAAAACTGAAATGAAAGGAAACAAAACAAAGACCGCCTTGCTCCCCAGAGTAATTACACGGCCGGCCAACAGCGCATTTCTCTCGGGAGGAGACAGCACATTGGGCTTTCACTAGCTGCTGTGCAAAAACAGAGACTGGGGAAGAAGCTGTGAGGCAGACTCACGGCTTGCCATTATTTATTGTACCACCCGGGCATCAAGGGAACCTACTTGAGCTTCACTTTTAATAACTATAAATTGCAGATGAGGTTATTTATGCGTTCTCACTGTCATCTCCCAGTCAGGCTCACGTTCCTCTGCACAATCCAGACGTCTAGGAGCTTAGTGGGCACGCTCAGAGTGCCAGGTTTGTGGGTTGCTGGCTTCAGAAAGCCTCCATTCTGCTCACTTCTTCTCTTGCGTCCTCAGCTCAAATGCATGTGTGCTCGCTCGCTTCCAATGGAGGGGGAAGTGGGCTATTATTTCTGGTATTCATGCAGTATGACTCTGCATATTAATCTGTTTAGAACCCAGCTAAGGCGGTCTGACGAATGGGGTTGCAATGAGGACTGAGTTAATGCCTGCAGGGGGTTAGCACAAGACCAGTCAATGATCCACCTTGCCGTTCTGAGCCATTATGCTATTTTCTTCACTGAGTTTCCCTGATTTCCAGTGGTTGAGCCGCGGCCTTGGCTGGAGACTAGAAGCGAGTCTAAACTCCCCTTCCAAACCCCATCCTTCCTGTTGGGTTGCAGGTATGTTCTGTACAACCTTCTGCACCCCTTGAACCCAATTGAGGACACCTGTCAGTAAAATCATGACATTTTGCAAATCCAGGTCTTACTTTTTCACTCGTTTTCTCCCCTGCAACGGAAAAACAAACCTTCAGACCGGTGGACAGCTTTCCCCACCTACTCCCCATTACCCCCACCCCCATTTCAGACTTTACAGGTGTGTACCTGGGGCAAGCGGAACAAAGATTACAGCGACGGCTGTGGCTGCCTCCCGGCTCAGATAAAAGAGGCGCCTCTCCGCCAGCTCGGCGGTGCCAGTTTACCCGAGGTCAGACTTTGAAACCCCACCGCCCCCCCCAACCCCCCAATCTCGGGCAGGTCTAAAGACCCTCCCCTCCTCACCCCTCCTTAACCCTCCCACCCCAGACCCTGTTTCCAGCGCACACGACTGTTCTCCCAGTCTCCCTTCCTTCCCATCTGGAGACTGGGGGCGCGAGGGTGTCCCGGGCGGGCAGGGGCCTGGGTGCGGGCGGCCGGTGGGGGGCAGGGGTGGGGGGACGCCGCTTCGTGGGGAGCCGAGCCCGGGGCGGCCCCGTCTTCCCGGCCGGAGCGTTCCCGCCCTTTCGGCGCGGCCCGGAGCAGGTAGCCGGGCGCGGGGCCGCTCGGCGGGGGGCGCTGTGGCGCGGCCCGGCCGCCTCCTCCCCCTCCTCCCCCTCCTCCCCCTCCTCCTCCCTCCTCCTCCTCCCCCTGCGCGTCTTCCTCCGCCCTCCTGGGCCGGGCTAGCGGGCGGCCGCGTCAGACACCGTCGGGCGGGCGAGCGCGCCGGGCGCGGCGGGGCCGCATCTGCATCGGCCGCCGCGGCGGGGCCGGGAACAAAGAGGAGGAGCCGAGGCGCGAGGTAGGACGCGGGCTGCGGGCGGGCCCCCCGCGCGCCCCCCCTGCGCCCCCCGCACGCCCGGGCGCTCCCCGCGGCCTCGCCGCTCGGCCCCGGGGACCCCGGCGACCCCGGCGGGGCGCTGCGGCACGAGACGTGCTTCCCCGGGCGCTTGGCGGGGGCTGCTCGGTGCCCGCCGCCCTCCTCCTCCCCCCGAGGCAGCGAATTGATGGGGAGGAGGACGGGGAGGAGGGTTGCAAAGTCCCTGCAAACTTCCAGCAGGGGTGCGGGAGGGATCCGGGGGCCCGGCTTGACCCGAGGGGGCGGCGAGTGTGCGCCCCAGAAGGGCACCCGACCCCGCGTGCGCAGCCCCGGCCCGGGGCGCTCGCTGCCATCCGGGGGCACCCCCCACAACCCCCTGCCCCGACTCACGACCCCTGGCTTCCCGGGTTGCCCGCGGCTCCCGGAGTACCTGTGTTTGGCCGCGTGAGAGAGGGGCGCAGCCCCGGCTGCCCCCCGCCCCGACTCTGTCAAGAACAGCTGTTAATGCTTCCATGCAAACCTTTGAACCCCCCTTCTCCTAGGCAACCGCATTCACATTAATTTGGGGAGCGGGCGGGGCGGGGTGGGGGTGAGGAGAGTGGCGCAGTCCTTAGCTTAAATGCTTTTTTTCTTCCCCCTTTCCCCTGAATGGCCCTATTTTCGCATTATGCTCCCAGATTTCAGTCCAGCATTCCTTTGTCAAATTCTTTCGGTGATAATTTTGCCAGATTTTCTGAATGGGATTAGGACAGGCCGTTCAGAAATCCGTCTCAGAGTTTGCCAAGCGTAGCCCTGCCGGGTGCTTTTATGTTTCAGCCGTTTTCAAGCACATCTTTAGCGGGGTCCTTTAGAATTGTCAACCTTCAGCGTGTTTTCGGTTGGGCAAGATGAAACAGTTCTATTTTTAAGACCAGGGAAGGAACATATGTATTTAATATTGGAATCATTTACCACAAGCGATCATATGAGGCTGGATTCCCTCAACCCTGAAGTGGCTTCAAAATTGGGAACTGTTGGATTTCAAAGTAATTTCAGGTAGAGGAAACTTTCAATTGCTTCTGTTTAGGTTCTCAGATGAGTTGAGGAGTTTATTAAGGCAGGCAATATCACTCTGGGAGCTTGATTGCATTATGCCCCTTTATTGCATTTCATAAATCCTGTTTATTGCAAGAATCCTGAACAGTGCTTGATATCTATTTCTGCACAGCGAACTGCTACATACCTATTGGGGCTATTATCAATTGTTTTTTTTTTTTTTAAAAGTCTATCAGGGCCAAGCACAGTGAAGTGGGTGAGGACTCTTGCCTTACAAGACTTGGGTTCGATCCTGGGCAATCCATGTGATTCCCCCCCAAGCACTGCCAGGAATAATCCCTGAGAGTAGAGCCAGGAGTAACCTCTGAGCAACCCCTACTGAGCCCCCCTCCTCCTCCAAAAAAAAAAAAGCCTGTTTTGTTTTCAGTTGTTGACTTTGGGAGTTCAGGAATCACATTCCAAAACCAAGCTACACTCAGAAAACAGCACTAATCTTGTCTTTTTAACTTTTTTTTTTAATTCCCCCCCTCCCTTGACTCCAGAGCGAAGTCTGAAATGGATGTTACATGAATTGCTTTAAGGGATGCACACAGCTCCGAACATTTCTCAAGTCAACTAGAGAAGATGGACGAGTCAGCCTTGTTGGACCTCCTGGAGTGTCCGGTGTGTCTAGAGCGGCTTGACGCTTCTGCAAAGGTCTTGCCTTGCCAGCATACGTTTTGCAAACGCTGCTTGTTGGGGATTGTAGGTTCCCGAAATGAACTGAGATGTCCCGAGTGCAGGACTTTGGTGGGCTCCGGTGTGGAGGAGCTTCCAAGTAACATCTTGCTTGTCAGACTCCTGGATGGCATCAAGCAGAGGCCCTGGAAACCTGGCCCAGGTGGGGGCGCTGGGACCAACTGCACCAATGCGCTGAGGGCACAGAGCAGCACCGTAGCTAATTGCAGCTCCAAAGATCTGCAGATCTCCCAGGGGGGACAGCAGCCACGGGTGCAAGCCTGGAGCCCCCCGGTGCGGGTGAGTAGCCTGTAGGAGCAGTGGACCAGAGGGCTGAGGACCACATTGACCCTTTGTTCCTCACTTGATTTTTCAAAGTCAGCTCATCGTTAAGGAATGAGGCTTATTGGAACAGATAGGACATGATGCCATATATGTGTGTGTATACACACATATGTACGTATTTATGTCATACACATATGTCATGTGTATATATATGTGCACAATTTATATATATCAAATATACATGCAAACAATGAGGACTACTGGAACAGTTAGGAAATGATGCCACATATGTTTGTGTGTGTATATATACATACAAATACAGATAGGTATGTACATGTCATACACATATGTCATGTGTGTATATATGTGCACAAATTTATATATATCAAATACACACACAAAGTATGGGGCTTACTGAAACAGATAGGAAATGCCATATATATGTGTATATATGTTGTGTGTATATATACATATATGTTATTTTCCTTTTGGAATAAGATTGGTTATAAATAATGCACTTTCTTGTTTTTAAAAATCTCTCCAAATAGTCTATTGATTTTTATGATTCATTTTGGAAAACAGCAATTATTCAATAAAATCTAAAACACAGCTTTTTAAAAAATATGTGTGTGTTCTCTTTAAAATGGAAACTGGATATGGTTTTATCTTTTTGATGGAGTTAGAAGAGCCATAATTATGTATGTATGTGTCCATATATGTATATGATAAATATGTATGCGGCTAAATCTTAAGTAGGAAATCAAGCCTTGATTTTTCTGTTGCTTGAAGCCATTCTGTTGGTTTTATGAATGCACAGCACAGAGTTTACTGGTTGGAGGGATTCTTAACAAATCATGGCCACAGGTAGCAGAGTTCTGTTGCCGTGGCAACGAAACGTCATTTAGGACTACGCTAGGAGAGCAGAGACAGAGAATCGAGCTTTATGATGATTTTACAAAGAGTGAGATGAAATGTTTTTATCAAAATGGTTTTCCTTGGGTTTTGTGTTTGAGCTGAAATAATTGGGGGGCACGGTGGACCACATCTAACAGTGCTCAGGGGCCACTCTTGGTGGTCCTCAGGACCATATACAGTGCCAGGGATGTAATCAGGGACCAGCTTACAAGGCAAATGCCTTAAAGTCTATACTATCTCTCCAAAACTGTGGTTTGAACATTGTTGCAACTTAAATCTTTGGAAGGCAAGGTATACTAAATAAATGTAAATTATGTTGTGGTCTGGCATCCCAGTAAGATTAGGTGTTTCCATTTTGGTAAAAATAGCCAGAGTCATAGTACAGCAGGTACTTGCATGCAGCTGGCCCGGATATGATCCCCGGCACCCTTTAGGGTCCCTAGAGCTATACCAGGAATGTTCCCTGAGTGCAGAGCCAGGAGTGGGCCCAGAATACCACTGTGTGTGGCCCCAAAATGAATCAACAAAAGACCCAAAAATAGTTGTTGTGGACATCATATAATTAAAACAATTCCATTTTCATTGGAAGAAATAATTTTGATAGTTGGCTAAATTGGTAACATCTGTTTTTTAAGATTTGTTCATTTGGATGATAATTTTTTTCTCCAAGTATTTGATACAAACAGTCAATACTGACTTCTTCCACTTCCTGTAGGAACTGTCCATTGATGGCAATGATGGATAGGGTAAATTTCCAGATAAATAGCAGACAGTTGTAATGGAATTGATAACCATTCCCATTCTCTCAAGTTATCTTTTACAAATTAGACAATGCATTAATATCACTAGGTGTTAAAGTATGTATTTTCATTACTAGCAAAGTTTTATCACTAACATATCAGATTTTTGATTGATATTTAAATATTTTTAAAAGGGATGACAGGGGCTAGATAGATAGTACACAGATAAAGGTACTTGACTTGCATCCTGCCAACCTGGTTTGATCCTTGGCACCATGTATGGTCTGCACGGTCAGGAGTCTGTCCTGAGCACAGAGCCAGGAGTAGCCCCAAACTAACAATGGGCGTGGCCCCTACACTAAAACAAAAATAAATAAAAGGTATGACAATGTCAGGTTTACAAAGCTTTCTTTACAGATTTGAAGACTACATGTGAAATTGTTGTGCATAGAGTATTTTGCTTAGATTTCCTTTATTTTATGGAATTTTCCAGGTTCTTAATTAGTAGACTTGGGAGTATTTTAAACTCAGCGTCAGTGATCAGTTGGTCATTTCAGAGACACCTGACCAAGTCTGCTTAGCTGAATGAAGACATGAGCGGAATGAATTTCTTCTTTGGAGAGATTTTGTTTCTTTGTTAATTAGAGAAGGTATAGTTTCTGCCTGTGAATGGAGCTAACTTCAGTTGTTGACACATTGTCTTACCTGTTGTGAGGAACACATTCAGTGTTTGATTACTGATAAGAGGACTTGAGCATTTCAATTAATACGTTCTTTTAAGTTTAACTTTTCTAACATTGGAAATTGCCAGTATGTCATGTTGGATGCTTCTTTGAACTGCTTAAGTTTCCAAAAATCGAGCTTTGCTTTTCTCAGATAAATTATTTTGTGATTTTGATCATGTTACTATTACTTTTCTGGGTGGTTGAAATTTTCTAAGTTAGCAGTGATTTTTAGAATGTGATCGGTTCCTTGCTGAGTCCAGATGAATTTTTTTAAACCTTGGAACTTTGATAAGGATAAAGTGGAACTCATGTCTGTAACTTGGGTGGGGAGGGACAGTGAGCAGAGGGCAAACAAGAGTTATTCCGTGGTTTGAGTTGATGCAGACTGCAATACTCATAAAAATAACATTTTTTTTCCTAGTCGAAATAATTTCTGATTAGCAGTGTCTAGTGCTTTTAAGTTTTTTACTAAGGCTGAGCATGTAGTCCAAGGATCTGAAAATTAAATACATCTCAGCAAAGACCCCTTTTGTTTTTGAAAAAAAGCAAGAAATCGCTAAAGTACAGCCATCTGGAGGTTGTAATGTTCTCCTTTGGACACTTCCCTGAATTGAGTGACCGTAATAAATCCCAAACGTGCATCCTCCTCCCTTAGATGTTCTGACACCACCAAGTGGTGCGTGAGCCCGTTTCCACATGTTCTGCAAAAGCTAAAAGTGATAACATGTGGACTGTTGCTTCAGTTGCTTTCGTTCTATTCTCTGTTCCATTAGCTTGTGACCATGTGGCTCCCATGCATTCGGCTGAGGTATACGGAGTATTATCAGCAGATAGAAGCATTTGCAATGTGTGACACACATCTTGTTCCCAGGATTTTAGTGTTTCCTGTCTAATATGAAAAAGAAAATGAAAATCATGTTGGCTTGGATCCACCACGGCAATCCATCAGTTCTTTACCTTCCGTAAAGAACTTCTGTTGGTTTTAGGTCAAAGTTGAGCCTGGAGTGATAGCACAGCAGGTAGGGTGTTTGCCTTGTACTCAGCCAACCCGGGTTCGATTCCCAGCATCCCATATAGTACCCTGAGCTACCTCCAGGAGTAATTCCCGAGTGCAGAGCCAGGAGTAACCCCTGTGCATTGCCAGGTGTGACCCAAAAAGCCAAAAAAAATAAAATAAAATAAAGTTGGAGCCTGAGATCACACACACACACACACACACACACACACACACACACACGTACATTTATAAATGCAATAGAAAACATGTTTAAGTAATTCCGATAGAATTATGATGTGGTACCACAGTAGGTGGGTGTTTCCATTGCTTTAAGATCTTAAGATCTGTGCAGGTTACTATTCTGCTTTCTTTCCTTCCCACCATTGTTGTGATGACCAGGAGTCACACACACACCTGGCCACACTGCAAACACATGTAGTTGTGCTGCTTACTGAGAGCCACACGTGCTTGCTTGGATCATTCTTTAGTTGTGGTGTTTGCGCCCATGCTCGCTGTGGTCACACCCCTATTTTCATTTACTTGGACACATTCTAGGTGCTGTGCTCTTTGGTGGGGGTGGGGGAGTGTCCTTCTTGGCCTTGGCATTGCACATCTTTTTGCAGTGCCTGCAGAGGCAAAGGGCATAGCACCCCTTTTGGTTGCAGTGCCTGCGCACACCTGGTAGTGGTGTGACCAGAAATGCGCTGTAGACAGCAGAACCACTGGGATTGTGCTCAGCCCATGTGCTAGTGCCTGGAGCTGAACTTTGCACCCTCAAGACTGGCTGCTCTCTGCCCCGTCACTGCCTGCCAGTGTTGTTGTACGTGATTCTCGTCAGGCAGTGGTGTTTAGCGATTTCCCACTGCCTGTACTTCAAAACCAGTTTTAATCAGCAAGGATAGATTACACGTCAACTGATGATACATAAATGTACAGTTCAAATTTTCTTTTCTTTTTCTAACATGTATTGAGCACTTACCAGGTGCCTGGTGCGGTCCTGGTTCTGGAGAGAGAATGATGGGAAAGCAGATAACAGACTGTGCTCAGGAATGCAAGGCTGTGTGGTCTGATGGCAGGAGATACACACAGACACCATGCTAACTGCAGGTATGAGCATGTGTCCAGGCAGCTGGGGAGAGCACCGAGGGCCTGAGTTTAGAGTGGGGATATGTGCATGTTTGTGCAGATGGTGAGCTTGATGAGGCTAGAGATGGGCTAACAATCCACGATGAGGCCTCAGGTACAATGTGTGGAAGGTGTGGAGAGCCACCGGAAGGCCACCTAGGGTTAGGGCCAGATGAACAATGTGACAGCTTGTCAGTGCTCTGCACAATTCCCGGGACAAAGATGATCAGCAAAGCTTAGAATACAAGGGGTTTGGAGAGTGTGTGCAACAGATTGAGAGAAAGGGAATTCTAGATATGGAGACACACAGGTGAAATTTTGGGGGCAGTCCTCAGGGCTTATTCCTGGCTGTGTGCTCAGGACCACTCCTGGTAAAGCTCAGGGGACCGTATGGGATGCTGGGGATCAAACCCGAGTTGGCCGCCTGTAGAGCAAACACCCTCTCTGCTATGGCTCCTGCCCTGCTGTGTCTTCTCTCATGCCAGTACTGTGTTTTCTACAGCTGCACTCACT